TTTTTTTTTTTTTTTTTTTTGACAACTAAATCATTAGAAAATGAATTTTTCTTTAAAAAAATTCACAACACATCACTTTTGAGTGTTGCTATTTGTGATTTTTGCAATGATATCATTGATTCCCAATATCCAATGAGATTTATGCAAACCATTATATTGTATAAGATTCGGTTGAGACTCTTTTGATGTTAAATTTCAAGAAAATTATTCCGTAATATATAAATAAAAAAAATCAAAGTTTTCAATTATTAAAAAAAAAAAATTGAACTAATTGAGGCGATCACTATCGTTTATATGTTGTGCACATTGATGTGGGCTCTAGTCAATGTGTACATGTGTGCCCCAATTGCTGCAAGCCCTCACACATTCTTGGTAATGCATGTCAGCGCACACCCATTGCTTTAAGGCCTTATGCGCATTTGTGGGCTTCATTGCACGACCGCACATGACAACTACTGTATGTGCACGCACTCGCGCAAGTCGCTCTGAAAACACGTGTGTGTGCATGCATTCACCCACACTAGGGAACACACAACCACTAATGTATGTTTGCCTGTCGTTGTGCTCCTATTAGTGTCTGCCACTACAAGAATTCACCGATTCTCATTCTGATTGACAATAAAAATTCAATAATGATTGAACTTATGATAGAAGAGACATTACTTGGTTTATGAGTTTGAAGAGAAGTCTACATTGATTTCCAAGAAACAGACATGCCTTGTAATCTTTCTGAAAATTATAGTAATATACTTAAATCTTTTGAAAATATAATATACTTTATCATTTGAAAATAAAGGGCAAATGATATATCATAAAAAAATTCAAATCATCAAGCATCAATCTTGATGCAAGTTGGATAAAAGAATTCTAAAAAAGTAATCATCCTAGCTCTGATTTTAATAACTTCATAGTCAAATTAGAGACCTCCATAATATGAACCTAATGATATTAAAAGTGATTTGGGCTTAAAATGACATCAGATCAAGTACTTGAAGTATTATTGGAAGCTTTAAAAAATTAATCGAATAGTCAAATGATCTTCAAATTTGAGATGCTTATAATCAAATTGAACATCTTGCTAAGAGGAATCCAACAAGCTCAAGATCACTCAATTCCAATATTATTAAGGCACCAAACAGCTAAAAAATGATCTATAATCAAGGGAATCAACACAAACCATCTAATGGAGTGCATTAGTATTTTGTATAAATTTACCCAAATGCCCTTCCAAAAGTATAAATAGAATCCAATTTCTAACATGAAAAGGGTGGGCTAAGAGCTTAGATCTAAGTGCTACAGTTTTGAAGAAAATGGGAGGCCGGCGACTACCAGAAATCCTCATCAATCACCATTAGCGATTATCATAATACAATTATTATTCTCAAATGTTTGTTGTTTGATCTTCATAACTCAATCAGAAAATCGTAACCTCATAGTTTCGACCTAGAAAAAAGAGTAAAACACCGTACTTTGAAATATATAATGATTTTTTTAACTAGGCTAGACTCCATGATTTTTTCTCATTCTGATTTTTCCACGTAAAATCTCAGGATTCATCTTTTTAAACGTTTCTTTTATCTGTGTGTGTTTGTGAATCTTCATAGATTGCTAAGAAATTAATTTATGACTCTATCATTATAAATTTTCCAGCACACAACAAGATTATAAGAGCACCTTTGGACCATTTCCAAATATTCAAACTATGTTCTACCTTATCTTCGAATGAAGGTTTGAAGATATCTTCAAATGAAGTTGAACTTACATTTGAATAATGGTCCAAATAATGGCAAAGTTTGAAATGTTTTAAATTTTTTTTTATATAATATGTTCACCATTTTGTTCAACATTTGTTTGACTTATTTGATTTTTTTTTTAATTTCAAACTAATGTTAATCACACGTGACTTAAATAAGTACTCCATTATTTAAGGAATTTGTATTATAATATATATAT